TTTGATCTCCAAGGATCATCATACTAATTTTTCACCATTTGATTTTGTCACGCGACAAAGTTCACAGCAGAAATTGGTCTTGTTTAAAAATTGTCGCGCAGGAAACAACAGCTAAATGAAATACTAAATTTGATTAATGGAACATTCGACAAGAAAAGCACAAGTGTTCAAAACTACTTAAGCAAACATTAGGCCTATCACAGCAGTAACTGTCCACGCATTATGCTTAACAGACGGACAACGGCTAATGTTAAAATCATCGAAAGGCAGGAAAACCATGATTAAAATGTAAAATGACGCACATGCATTTAAGGGAGACTGGATATCAACCCCTTTCACTCACAAAGTAGAATCACATTCAACTTCTTCTTACAATATCCATACATTATCCAGTAAACAGGTAATGAGAATAAACAATATCTCAGCTTATTGCTGTGTCAGATCGTGTCACCTTGCCACGGACATAAACAAAAATTTTTCCTCCCAGTAAAAGGAGATATATGGCAGTTACAATGTGCAATTGTATTAATACATTTAAAGAAGTGAGGACCACAAGGCTCGTTTGCAAATAAGCATCATATCTCTAGCGTAAGCTTGGAGCCACCAATAAAGTCCCTATATGATCAATGATGCAATACTTATTTTCCAAGAAAATTCAACTGCATCGCATTTGTTAATAAATTGAGGCCATAAAAGCTTTTATTTTGGGCATGAAACTCAAGTCTCAAGTTTCATCATGCCATGGGAAAAATAAAGGCATTGTACTTATTATGTTAATTACATGATTATTGATGCAAAGCACCAATTTATCGTTCATAATAATTAGTTGGTAAAACTAAACGTGAAAGTAAGAAGGGAAAATCAGTGCGTTTTTTAAATGACGATTACTTTGCTTGAAGACCGGGTTACTACCGCAATGCATCCCTCAGTGGTCACTGCAATCTCTCGCGGAGAAAACAATGGCTTTCCCATATGGATAGAAATACTTCGCAAAAATTCACCATCTTTGGTGTATATTTCTATGTACAATTTGTCTGAAAAACTCTTAGTATTGACCACGGCGACCTGTTGACTTTCCCTGTGAAATACAATTTTTGGGGAGAATAAAGGCCTTTGCAAACAAAACTTGTTTAGATGATCACCTTGTTCGCTGAATATGTGAACAACTCTCGGACCCTGTCCTTGCACCACCATAACTCTGCCATCACTTACAGTGGTGATGTCGCACGGGTAACTCAAGATTTGTTGACCAAAACTGCAAACTAAATGACCATTAGTCTCATAAACATCCACAATCCAATATTTCTTGCTCGAGTCACCCTTCAGCACCACCGCTTTTCCACTATCACTGACTGACAGTTTACACAGCCCATAGTTGAAGCTAATTCTCTCGACGCGAAACTTGTGATGCTGGTCAGCGGTTTTGTTAAACTTGAAAATCCAATATGAGCCCACACGACTCTCTTCGCTGACCAAGACATAAATGTTGTCATTCATGTCTGTGGCTAGCCGAACCCCGCTGGTTTTAATCGATAGCTGTTTACCGCTGTCATCAATAAGAGGAGGAAGTCTGAAACCTTGCACAAACTTGCCACTGTTGTCAAACACCTTGATTGTGAAGTCAACGTATGCTAAAATATATTGCCTGCTTGAGTTGGTAGCGATATCACTCAGCTCCTCTTCGCCATCATGATCAAGTATCCATGGTACACTACAGTTCTCCATACCCTGTTTACAAAGTATCTCTCTTACTCTCGCATCTCGCAGCAGATCAACTTTCTCCTCTCCCGTATCAATCATGAGCCATTTTGGGAATAGTTCTTTAACGGGTACTGTTCGTATGACATTGAAGGCGACACGATTGACAAGACAGACCCCGGAAATAACTTTGCGTCGTTCTTCTTTGTTAAATAAACTCTTCACTGCCCTGAAACCTGTCTTGAGCTGTTCTCGAAGACTTTGCTGAACCACTGGCAGACTGTTTAGCTCTTCAATACACACTTTACATGGTGCTAAAACATCCTCGGGATAGTCTATTTTTTCTAATACTGTTGCTATCACACGGTACTGCATTGATAAGATGCGGTCATTTGGTGATAGCGCTTCATTACAAAAGGCATCCGTTGCTTTTCCACCAGCACGTTCGAATCTCTTCTTTGCATCGGCGAGCTTTCTTTTAGCAGATTTAGTAAGCTCCAAGTGTTTCATTCCTTCAGTGAGCGACACAGCTTCCGCACAAGCCGCTTGTGCTGCATCCGCGCCATACTCACACCTCGACCTTGTATCTTCAAATACTTCATACAGCAACTCGACTCCTTCTTTAAAGGAGGTAATACTGGATAACAAATCTTTCCTTGATAATCCATCCAGCTTGGACCTCACGTCATCGATTTCTCGCATGATGATGCCGCGAAACTGTTGATCTGTTATGTCGCCTTCTTTAAGCTTTTTTGCTGCCTCATCTCTGCATTTATTCACAAGCCATCCAATAGTCGCTTTGAAAACTGCTGTTATGATTTCAGACATAATGGCAGCTTGGAACTTAGTAATCCGAAGAAATTGAGAGCATCTTTTAGCGAATCTTCACAATAAGCAGCTTGTTAAGCGTCGATGAACGCAAAGAAAATAGCAAATGATAGCAAAATTTCAAGAATGATTACAATTTTGGAATGAGAATTGCTGTCAGCCCAAAAAAAAAAATGAAACAATACAAAGCATAACAAAGAGAAAGCAATCAAGCCTGGTGTGAAGATTTATAGCCTCTTCAGAGAATCCTTTGTTGAAAAACATATTTCTCTTTAAAAAGCTATGTTGCTCATTGCAGACACTTAAATAGGCTGTTGTGGTCTTAACTTCTTCCTTTCATCAACGAATGATGTGAGCATCAGAAATCCCTGACTGACATCAGTAAATGAACAATTTAAAGCTCTTTTTGTGTTGTGTAATAAAATGATACTCGTGATCATTGAAATTTTCGATCACGTCACGACATCACTCGACTTCTCAATGGAAATGTTGTTTGATGCCCGAAGCAAAAAAGAATGATAATTGTTCACAAATCTTCCGTAGCTGTTAGCTTTGTTCTCAGCTGTAATGTGTTTTATTTATAGTTCTTTCTTTATCTTGTTACCCGTAAATAACTGTTATACCACACCTAGAGCTGAGACGGGTTCCTTCAACCAAATTAGTATTTGGCTATTTATCGGGTTATGGCCCTACACACAAACGATGTAATTTACTTTTAGAATGATTGGATGGGTTGAAAAGCGAACAGAGTGAACTCAGAGGGTGAAAGACTGAGTTTTTATTTATAGACTCAAACCCATACACTAAATCAAAACAGATATCGTTATCGCCAAGCTTTGCACTTTACAGTTGACAAAGAAAGGCTGCGGAACATAACCTATATTTTGTTATGAATAATAAGTCTCTCATGCACGTCAAAAAAGTACAGTTAAAGCCCTTTTTTAAAAATGTTTTGTTGATAAAATGTTACACGTGATCATTGAAACTTTAACCACGTCACGGCATCATTCAACTTCTCAATGGAATGTTGTTTGATGCCCGAGGTAAAAAAGCATGATAATTGTTCATGAATCTTCCTTAGTTGTTAGCTTTGTTCTCAGCTTTAATGTGTTTTGAAGTTCTTTCATTCACTTATAGTTCTTTCTTTACCTTGTTACCCGTAAATATCTGCTATACCACAACTGGGGCTGGAACGGGTTCCTTCAACCAAATTTGTATTTGGCTATTTATCGGGTTTCGGCCCCGCACACTTACGATCTAATTTACTTCTAGAATCTTTGGAATCCCTTCTCACTGCATGGGTTGAAAAGCGAGCCGTGTGAACTCAGTGGGTGAAACTGACTGAGTTTATATTTATAGACTCAAACCCATATGCTTTCATGATTTCAAACCAGATATTGTTATCGCCCAGCTCGCACTTTACAGTTGACAAAGGAAGGTTATGAATAACACATCTCTCATGCGCGTCACTGCTGTTAACCACTTTTGAGGGTTTTCTACATCAGTAAGTATTGCAATGTCATCAGATGATTAGAAAGTGAAAATGCGAGGCAAGCCACTCAGAGAAAAACACAACACAAATCACTTAACTTTTTGCAGCAACGTGTTTCATTTGACAGTAAGTTTAACCAATCAATAATAGGCATTGCTCTTCATAACATCAACGAATATATAGCAAGATAAGGAAATAAAAGTGTGAGTTTCTTGTTCTGACTCGGAAAAATTGAAGGAATCTTGAATTTTGTTTGTGGTTGTCCGACGTGCGCCCGCCTATCGCGTTCTATAGAGGTTGAAACAACATTTTCGAAATTTTAATCGCTTATTGTCATTTCATAAGTTAAAATACTTAAATCAAGGTCACAGATGAGTTTGTTGTGTATTGTATTCTTGTTAGATTTTGCTGCCATTAGTGATATATACGGGGAGGAAGAGGGAGAGATACTGCTTTTGTCGGTAGCCATGAAAACAACTTATTACATTGCCCGGTCTGCATTCCACTCAGTGATTTTTAACCGTCAAGGTTTCTTTTTTGTGTCAGTATGCCTTCAGAGGCGTGAATTAAACAATCATTGACCTCCTTTTAAAACTGTTAGGTCACTGAGTGATAAGTGTCACTTCATGTGAAAAAACCAGCCCCCGGTTCAGAGAGCCAATAATCAGGCTAGAAACTTTCCCATTTCGAACATCTTAAAAATTGTGTTGACAAGAAACTAAGGAGTTGCCATCCAGTTTAGCTATAAAACCTATTATATCAGCGCCTGATACCACCAGAATGTATATAATTAACATAAAGGCTATGTACAGAATGTACTCCAGACAACTGCGATTTTTAAGTCTGTTTCTTATATTTTCTTTGTCAGCAAGAAGAGCTGGAATTCTGAAAAATTTCTCAAACTTGCCTCTGTGGTCAAACACCTTGATTGTCAAGTCACAGCCTACAGCAATATTTTGCCCACTTGAGCTGGTAACGATATGACACGGATCATTTATATCCAGTACTCCTCTACACCATCCTGACCAAGTATCCATGATACAATACGATGCTCCATATCCTGTTTACGCAACGCCTAAGCTATCCTTACGTCATGCAGCAAGTCAACTCTCTCCTCTCCTGTATCAACTCTGAGCCATTCCAGGAGCAGTAAACTCCTACTGCATATAACTTGTGTGACACTTTAGGCGACAAGATTGACGGACAGACATCGGAAATGATTTTCTTTGTTCTTCTTTACTGATTAAACAACCCCCCCCCCCCCCCCCAAGGGCATTGATTCCTGTGTTGAGCTGTACTTTAAGACTTACTGAACCACTGAGAGACCGCGTTTAGCTCTTAAATGCACACTTTACTCGCCACTACAGCACCCGCAGGACTGTCTGTTTGTCTTTTTCTGTCCGTTCTCGATTTTTTTCATCCTCTCCAAACATTGTGTTTGATTTCCAGATCAGCCATTCAACTCTACGAAATCGTTCTAACCTAGCAAATTCTAACCGAACGTGCAAGATTCTTAGGGACTCTACGCGCCGACTGACCTTACCTCAGATCAAAGAGCGTGAAGCAGTTAAAGCGATTTGTTTTACGGTTCTCTGTTTGTTAGTACTAACAGCACTGATTAAAACTTCGAAGAATTCATTCGCACCGTAAAAATAGTCAGTTACCCACATTCAGTTAGTCTACCGCTTATACGAGCTGTTAATAAAACGAAACCACAGTCAAGGGTTACAGAGCTATTTTATGACCACGGTGCATAACAAACTTTTTTCGTTATCAACACAGCCACGCTAACGCGCTGAAATAGCTTTCATTCCAATGTGCCATCATGATGCAAAACTCACTTTTGTGAAGACTGCCAAATATCTGCTAAGTAAGATTTAAAAACGAATAATAGGCAATGATAAACCCCGCTGAATATCCGAAATGATAAATCCTCTTTTCCACTCGACTTTATCATCACACCTCTGCCCTCGTGTTGCTGTGATGGCTGCCAGCGCCACGAGGAAGACTGAAGACCAGTCAAACCTTGCATAGGGTAATTCAGTATTAAATTAGTAAATTAGCCACCGTGAAGAGTTTCAAAGATAACGTTTCGCGAATTAGCCCCTTCGTCAGAGTGAATGGGGGAATTGTGGGTTGTGTGTGTGTGTTTATATGCAGATGTTGCAAATGCAGACCTTGCTTAGCCCAACATACATAGCCTAACATATCATAAAATTGTTACGCTTTATTTTCAACTAATTCTTTTCTTTCATTAGATTTCTTCCAGCTCTGCCACATCCTCTGAGCGAACCCGGCAGATGCCGACAGCTCGGATGAAATCGAACATCTGACTAGTGCAGGATAGAGGGCTGCTTACTGTGACAACAACTACCATACGTTCCCTTCTTAGTATTAATCAACAGCCAATGAGTATTGGAGAGGAGGATAAAGCGTGCATTCAGGACTGACATGCGCATTGCACGATTGAGACATGCCCTCAGAGGCGAGTTCTTCGTGAACTCTGAACAGACTCAATTTAAGCTCGGATAGATATGCTCTAGCGTTTAATTGATTCATTTCGAACTGCAAGCGTTCTTGTCATATAAATGTTCATGTTCATATTTTACGTGTACAAAGAGCGAAAAGTGAGAATAGATGTAATTTTCATGAGACATTTTAACCCGTGTGGGTTTAGAGTAAACACGAGTATAATGTTTAAAGAAATCATCACTCTATCGAAGTTCTGTTTGCAAATCTGGAGCAGAAATATTTACGACAAAGGCTCCAGAGAAATACAATAACGAAATAAAGGTATTGTTGAGAGGATGATACCTTATAACTAATTATTTCTATATTCATAATTTCCCAACACCGAATTTCCTCATGATATTGAACAGATGTATATAACAGTAAATACTTCTTAACGCTTGTAAATCCAATTTCCATGATTGACACAACTTTTTACCATATTCTCTCTGTTACAAGTTTTTCTAGCTATTTATGTACTAAATGGAAAAACAATTTCCATAGAGAAGGCTAATTTATATTATATAAAAACACTGTATTTCATGGTGAAACTCATACTTGACTTTGATCGGGATAAGTGCGGATTGTTTCTCCGCTCGGATTCGGTGTTGATCCCGTTCTGTGTCCATCTGTTTTCGTGCACATGTCCTCTCGCCGGCATAGGGTATTTTTGTTGGGATCGCGAGTTATAACGGAGTTGCGATCGTAAGTTGTAACTCGAATGTTCCTTAGAAGCCAGTACATGAAAGACAGTCCGCCCAGTACTGCATGCATTAAATAACACATGAATAAAAGGGGTAATGGTGATGCTGTGTCGATGGGGTATTTACAAGATAATTTGGTTCTATCAACTGACGCTCTTACCAATGACTAACGCTGTAAACTTTTGCCTTAGAGACTCTTTTCAGCAGCCAATTTACATTATCAACTCTGCTGATAAAACCAAATTATCTGGTTTTTTAAATATTCTGCGTAATTGCGCAAAAATGTCGCCACCTTTACTGAGTGAAACGATAGTATTGACTGTACTATTTTGTTTTTGATGCGATATTTCGGGGAATAAAATCCTTTACAACATTTCTTTAAAAATCACTTGTGATCCTTGCAATGTGATCAACTTTCCGTGACCAGTGTGATATATGCACAAATCGCATCTTTATCCCAGGCAATGAGACCGCTTTACTAAAACACAACAACCAATCGGATTTCAGGACTTGTTTGAAGAAATCAAGCAAATTGCAGGAAAATGAGAGACATTTTGTAATAAGCGAATGAATCGTGGAATTTGTGACGATAGGTTTTCGCGCAATAAACTGGACTTTGCGGAAAACGTACGAAACGGGGGAAATAACTCGGTAGAGATCACTCGGCTTGCGAGAGCAGAAACTCCTCACGATTTCCTAGTACACTGAGATCTACTTCGAGCGAGCTTCTACGGACGTCAAGGATGAGACAGCGTTTTAGTTCCACAGCAGACTTTATTCGAAGAGCACTCTAACATAAATCATGCCACGGTAAAAGCTAAACTAATTGTAGCAAAAGCTGTACAAGGTACTTGTTTAAAAACTAACTGGTGTGAGGTGCTATTGTAACACAAATTACAATATTTGAACAAGGACACAAAGAAGCAGAAAATGTCTCCTTGAAGTTATACGAAAACTACTTAAATGTTCCCGCTGTTTCTACGATGAAAAGAATTTCAAAATTTAAAGGACGGATACAACAAATTCGAGGCCATCAAAAATAGGAAACTTGGGTGAGAATTCACAGCTCTGGTATAGAAAATATACCTATCTTAATTAAAGTAGAGCAGCTTAGGAAATAAAAGCGGAAAAGTAATTAAAAATTTCTGCTTATCTATGTAAGGTTGGTGTGGAAATTATCGTATGAAAGGAAATTAACATTACGAGTATAATCTCAGCTGCTAACTACCGTGAGAATCAATTTTTCCAAAAAGACCATTTACACTTATATTTACGTAATATTTCACTAGTAATGAACAACAAAAGTACCAATATACAGGTATACAATGAAAGCAAGAAGAAAGCAAAAATTTCTTAGTTTACTACTCAAAAACTGCTGTGGCTTTTTAAATATTTTTTTTATTTAATTATATTTTTTAACTTACTAGAAGGAAAACCCGAATGAAGCCGAATATTTTAAATATGAAAGTATACGAATACATATGGAAAATTAGCGAATATATATGCCCAAAAACCCACGAAAAACCCTAAGTATATCATTTTATGATACGTCAACAATTCAATTTTTGGCTATAATTTACACAATGGTAACAACAATTTGAATGGAGCAATTTGTTCATCGTTCTTTATAGCTCGACCGGTCGAGTCAAAGAACAAACAGAATACACGAAATAAATTGAAACTTGAAAAATAAAATTTGAATTGAAACAAAACTTGAACTAACATTACACGAACTAAAACACATGAATTTTTCCCCTAACATTGATTAGCCAGCTATGAAATAATTAGTCTTTACTGACAAGTTTAATTGATCTCTAAGGATCGATCTTTCTACTAATTTTTTATCATCTAGATTTGCCACGCGACAAAGTTCACTGCAGAAATTGGTCTTGCCTCAAAATTGTCACGCAAGAAACGACAGCTAAATACTTCATTAGATTAATGAAACATGCGACATGAAAAGCACAAGCATTCAAAACTACTTAAGCAAACGTTAGGCCTATCACAGCAGTAACTGTCCACGCATTATGCTTAAAAGACGGATAAAGGCTAGTTTTGAAATTATCGAAAGATAGGAACACCATGATTAAAATATAAAATGACGCACATACATGTGAGAGAGACTGAATATCAACCCCTTTCACACACAGAAGAGAATCACATTCAACTTCTCCTTACAATATCCATACATTATCCAGTAAACAGGTAATGAGAATAAACAAATATCTCAGCTTATTGCTGTGTCAGACGTGTCACCTTGCCATGACATAAAAAAGTATTTCCTCGCATTACAAGGAAATATATGGCAGTTGCAATGTGCAATTTTATTAATACATCTAAAGAAGTGAGGACCATTAGGTTGATTGCCAAATAAGCATCATATCTCTAGCTAAGCCTGGAGCCGTCAATAAAGTTCCTACATGATCAATGATGTAGTACTTATTTTCCAAGAAAATTTTCTAAACTGCATCACATTTGTTCGATTAAATTTCAACGCTTCAAAAGTTAATAAATTGAGGCTATAAAGGCTTTCATTCTAGGCATAAAACTTTTGTCTCAAGCTACATCATGCCCTGTGAAAAATAAAGGCTTTGTGTTTATTATTATTATTATTATTATTATTATTTTATGTAATAATAAACAGTTAGTAAACTAAACGTGAAAGTAAGAATGGAAAATCAGTGCGTTTTTTAAATGATGATTACTTTTTTTGTTGAACCTAGAATCCGGGTTACTACTGCAATGTGTCCCTCGGTGGTCACTGCAATCCCATTCAGAATAAAGGACTCTCCCATATGGATAAGAGTACTTCGCACAAACTCACCATCTCTAGTGTATATCCCTACATACAAGATGTCTGATTCCTTATTACCGGCCACGACGACTTGTTGACTTTCCCTGTGAAATGCAATTTTTGGAGATCTCAGAAACCTTTGCAGATCAAACCTGTTTAGATGGTCACCCTGTTCGCTGAATATGTGAACACCTGGCGTCGAAAGCCATCCTTCCACCACCATAACTCTACCATCACTTACAGTAGTGATGTCGCACGGGTAACTCAAGATTTGTCTTCCAAAACTGCAAACAAACTGACCATTAGCCTCATAAACATCCACAATCCCATAACTCTCTCCAGAGTTTCTCTTCAGTACCACCACTTTACCACTATCGCTGACTGACAGTTTGCATTCGCAGCCCATTGTCCTGACGCGAAAACTGTTATGCTCGTCAGCAGTTTTGTTAAACTTAGAAATCCAGTATGAGTCCTCACAACTGGTTTCTTTGACCGGCACATAAATGTTGTCATTCATGTCTGCGACTAGATGAACCACCCGGTATGTAAAGGATAGCTGCTTACCCATGTCATCTAAAAGAGGAGCAGGAACTCTGAAACGTTGCACAAACATGCCACTCTTGTCAAACACCTTGATTGTATTGTCACAGTCTGCTACAATATATTGCCCGCTTGAGTTGGTAGCGATACCACTCGGATTATTTAACCTGTGCTCCTCTTCGCCATAATGACCAAGTATCCATGACACACTACAGTTCTCCATACCCTGTCTACAAAGTATTTTTGTTACTCTCCGGTCTCGCAGCAGATCAACTTTCTCTTTTCCTGTATCAATCATGGGCCATTGTGGCAATGGTTCTTTAACGGATACTGTTTGTGTGACATCGTAGACGACACGATTGATAAGACAGACACCGGAAATAACTTTCCGTCGTTCTTCTTTGCTAAATAAACCCTTCACTGCCATGATACCTGTCCTGAGCTGCTCTTGAAGACTTTGCTGAACCACCGGCAGACTGTTTAGCTCTTCGATACACACTCTACATGATGCTACAGCATCTGCGGGATGGTCTATTGTTTCTAATTCTGTTGCCATCACTCGGTACTGCATTGCTAAGATGCGGTCAGTTGTTGATAATGCTTCATTTGAAAAAGCAATGGTTGCCATTTGACGAGCAAATTTGAATCTGTCTTTTGCAGTGGCGAGCTGCCTTGTGGCATATTCAGTAAGCTCATCCCTCGACCTAGTCTCTTCAAATACTTTATACAGGTACTCGATTCCTTCTCTAAAGGAGCTTATACTTGTTTTCAACTCTTTCTTTGATATTCCATCCAGCTTAGACTTCACATCGTCAATTTCACGTATGATGATGCCGCGAAGCTGTTGATCTGTTACGTCGCCATATTTAAGTTTTTCTGCTACTTTTTCTCTGCCTTTCTCCACAAGCCATCCAATAGTAGTTTTAAAAACTGCTGTTATCATCCAGTACATGATAGTGACTGGGAAAAAAACAGGAAATTGAAAATGTTTTGCAGCTTATGAAGATTCCTTCGATATTAAAAGTTTTTCTCGATTTTTCCGGCGCGAATGAATCGAAGGCCTATCAACAACTAGGTTCAAAGTTTGTACACTAACCGGTAAATATTCGACGAAAGAAATGAAGACAATTTTGTCGATATGTGTTCAAAGTTAGACAGTTAAAATGAAGCAACCCTAAAAAATATTCAACTTCTTAAGTTGTTTTCCTCGGGCAACTGAAGACACAGCGAAAAAATACAACTCAAGGAAACATCATTCATGGCAAATAAACGACAGCTGGAAAGATAGCAGATAGCTATGAATACATTATGACTGTGAATGAAATTGATCTGATGTTTTGAGCCAGTTCTATTTTTTGACTAATTAAAGAGGATCAATTCATTTTCTTTTTGGCTCTATCATAATTAAATGCAAACCTTTAGGCTAAAAATTGTTCAGTAAGAATTCCATCATGGAAAGTAACACAATAATACGCGACCATGCTAAAATCAGCGATAAATTTTTTTCCAGAAAAGGAACAGGAGAATGTGAAGCTAAATTTTTCGAGTAGTTTAAGATGCAGAGAAATAATTCAAACGGAGAGACGCCGCCCGTGGCTAGGAAATCAACAAAAGCTGAAAACAAAACAGACGGGTGTGAATATCATTACAATGATGAATTTGAACTGTAATTAATAACGTAGTCTACATTTCAAGAAGAATTTCTCCTCGAGTGTTCAACTCGATAGCTCACGAGTGAGCACAGCGAGCGAGTGAGATGTCAGTCTTGTGGTCTTCGTCTCAGTCTTTCATCTATATTATGCTCACGTGGGTGCACAGTTCCTTCAAACGAATGATCTCGTCATAAATGTGACCCTCCACGGGCAAACAGAGAATAAGGTGAACGAACGGCAGCGAGAAAACTGACACACCGGCTTCGCAGCGGAGCCGGTGTTCATGGTTTGCACGCCTAATTAAAATTTTCTATCGCTCAAATTGCACGATAAAAACAAACGCACGTATTACAGAGAACAAAGAAGTGTGTCGAGCTCGGCGCTGAATGAAATGAAACGCTGGCGAGTGAAATAGCACGCCGTTTAAGCGAGTAAAATGACGCAGTAGCCGTGTCTAAAATTTTCGTAAGCAGCGCACGCGTGCAGCCCTGCACGCGTGTCCATCTCTCATTTTTACCCAACTGCAACTTCAGCGTGGTAAGTACGATCTATGTGGGATGAACGAATCTAGGAGACCATCGTTTTGTCAATAAGACATGTTTTCCGTGTGACGATTGCTAGTCTGGTCGTTCTAATCAGGAAGGATCAAGAGACTACAACTCCTTTTTCCAGTCTTCTTGATTCTCTTCAAATAAACATCAAAGCTTTGTTTTGCATATTCTGCTTTTTCTAGAAAAGAAATACCGGTAAGCGCCCTTTTTTATTAATCAGCGCCCTGTCCCTAATTACCGCCTTGTCTCGAATAAGCGCCCTCCTTTGAGGTGCCAAAAGTAAGTAATCGCCCCAAGCGCTAAATGGAATCATTACAGTGAATGCCACTGCTGCAATTATACAGGGTCTAGGAACACGCTTATTAAAATATAAAATCATACAAATACATCCAAAGAAAATTGTCTATCAACCCTTTTACTTAAAGAAAGGAATCACATTCAGCTTCTCCTTACAATAACCTTACGTCATCCGACAAAAATATATAACGAGAATAGACAAATACATCCACTAGTGCTGGTTTTACCTCGGTATAAGAAATGATTAGCAGCTAAAATCGTGAATTAATAATCGCATCTTGAAAAGAAATATACCTACACGAGGTTGAGGGTCAGTGATGATTAGCCTAGAATCATGAATGAGATTCCTAAATTGATAAGCTTTGTTTATCAAGAAGAACCGAAACTACGTTACATTCGTTTGCGAATGTTCCAGGGTCTAAAAAGACATAAAGTGAAAAACTCGACTAAGTGGCAGAAAAACGTCGCTAACAAGGTATATGATTCTGTGTCCTATCTAAAACGTATTATGTGTTAAACTGTCTTATGATTAATTTCGTAAGGAAAAAAAGAAAACCCACATAGCAAACAATCCAGACAAGAACGAAATCAGATCATACACTTTGCAGTAGACCTCTCTTGAAAGTAGAATTGTTCAAAACCTTACGCCCAAACCAAGAGAAAGTAAGGGGGTTATTTTCTCAGGCCTGAGTTGATTCCGCAAAATGAATGAGGAAACAAGTCAAGAACATTTGCATCAGTTTTATAGAACAATCAACTGATATCCTATTTTGTAATCCATGACGCCGGACTCTAGCTTGACATATGAAGGTCCTAGAGCTGCAATGCGTCCTTCAGTGCTCACTGCAATCATACAGGAAATAGCCACTTTTGTAGATAAAAACGCTTCGTACAAACTCACCATCTTTGGTGTATATTCCAATACATAGGAGCTCCTTCTCATCTTCAGTACTAGCCAAGACGACTTGTTGACTTTCCCTGTGAAATGCAATGTTTGAAAGTGCACAAACCCTTTGAGATCAAACTTACTTAGATGATTACCGAGTTCGCTAAATATGTGTACATAATGGGAAGGCGTTTAGTCCACCACTGTAACTTTGCTATCGCTTACAGTGCTGATGTCTCGCGGGCTCTTCAAATTTTGTTCTCCAAAACTGCAAACAAACTGGCCATCAGTCTCGTATAGATCCACAAAATGATAGTCCTTTGTATAATTTCCTTTCAATACCATCACTTTGCCACTATCACTAACTGACAGTTTACACAGATTACACTCGAGGTCCATTGTCCTCTCGCGAAACTTGTGATACTGGTCAGCGGATTTATTAAACTTAAAAATCCAACGCTGATGATTCTTTTCTTCAACCAGCACATAAATGTTGTCGTTTATGTCTGTCGCCAGTTTAACCTTCCAGTTTTCTGTAGATAGCTCTTTACCATTTGCATCAATAAGAGGAGGAAGTCTGAAACACTTCACAAATTTGCCACTATTGTCAAACACCTTGATTGTCAAGTCATAGTCGGCTACAATATATTGCCCGCTTGAGTTGGTAGCGAAACAGTGAAAGAGGCAGGTGAAAATCGTTACCAGCTTTTAAATATGTCTAAGAATAATAACAGTCCATCAGAAGCTTTAAATAGTCACAACAGAAATAAACGGTTTTAAACATAATCACTGATTAGAAACTCAATATATGTGAATGCTCACATGATGACAATGCATAACTGTGCCGTGACTCAAAAGATGAACTCAAACTGATAAACAACACAAAAAAATCAGTATGATCATTCAATAATAATTCATTCTTCTTTATCAATTCAGAATTGTTTTAAAAGGATAACGAAGGACTTGTCTTTATCATAAATTAGAGATGACAGAAAATTATGAGGGGGTAATTCACTATTGTGTTACTGCATGTATTTCTCGTTGGACTAAGCCTTCACCAAAGATGTCAAAGCGGAGGAACGAGGAAAGTGCGGTTTTTGTCAGAAACTCTTAAATAACTTGCTACATTACTTTGTGTTCATTCAGTTTACTGATTTTCACTTGCCAAGGTTTAACTTCTGTGTCTTCAGTGCCACGAATTAATCTGTCCAAAAATAAACAATCTTCAACCTGTTTGGGTCACCGAGTGATAATCTGTTGAACTCACCGACATTTTTAAGATTATTTAAAAGTTTTTTTTTCGCCCTAACGTTCAACTTACAGTTTTGATAGCAAGAAAACGAAAAGGTTAATTAAACCGAAAGGCTACCTTTAATTTCATAGCCTTTCCCAAGTTCAAATAAATTTAATTATTTCCCGTCTCTCGCACTGTGTGAGGGCTTTAAGAAAGTATTGGGGATGGGTATATTTAAGATAACGACTGGGACGATCAAATGAACAAGACAATGGGGTCATGTAATCACGAGGTTGATCTACTGCTCGACGAAAGACTCTTGCATTGAATAAATAGGCCAAGTTATTTCCATTCTCTACTCGCTTATCTTTCCGGCGAAACGAATTGTGTCGAGCTCAGCGCTGAGTAAAAATGGCACGCAAGCGAGTGAAATAGATCTCCGTTTAAGCGAGTTAAATGATACAGTAGCCGTGTCTGAAATTTTCTTTTCATTAACCGGGCTTTCGTACTTTTCTCGCCCTGCCATCAAGCCGCAGGCCTTTAAGCGAAATTTGGAAACAAATCAACATGCGCTCACAAATTTTCATTAATAGTAGGCCCTTTGAATTGGCGGTAAAACTAAAACAATACGATCAAAACAATTTTTAACGGTCTATCAGCGCTTAAACTGAACGCTCAAAAACGCAAACGGTTCAACAGTGGACGTGTAGTGATATGAATCATTTGTTGGAGTCAGCTTTCATATGGCTCACGACTAAGAGCAAAAATTTAACATGATGGGAAAACAATTTGTTAAATCAATAGTCCTTTTTATCAAACTGAGGACGGGAGTAATACGAAAAAAGGGCGGAAGTTGGGAAGCAAAGGGCTGCAAAAGTACGGGAGGTGTGAGAATGTGGTACGGGAAGTTGGAGGCTGTGGGGCAAGAGTTGTACTCGAAATTCAACGAAATCATACAAAAAAAAAA